TGTTTTCATCATCATCATCATCATCATCATCTTATTCCACATTTCTTTAAAGTTTTTTTTTTATTTTCTCTCTCTCTCTTTCTTTCTTTCTTTTTACTTACTTTCGCTGGTTTGAATTGGATGATCACTTTCTTTAGGAATTCCGGATGTGAGTTAAAACAGACTCTTTGGAATCTATTCTAACGTGATAGTTTCTCTTTTTTTTTCCTTTAAAAAAAAATCTACATCCGTGTTGTCGCATGAATACATCATCATCATCATCATCATCTCTTTAATTCAATTATTAATTCGTTCGTTCGTTCATTCATTCAATCATTCGCTCCTTTTTTTTTTTTTTTTTTTAAAACAAAAAAAATCAATTAAAATTCTTTTTGTTTTGTTTGTTTGTTTTTTATGTTTCACTTGGCAAGAACAAACAAAGTGAAAATAATTTTTTTTTTATCAATCAAATGACAAAATTGATTAAAATGTTATTAATAATAATGATAATAATAATAAATAGACCGATTTTGATGGAGAGCGTGAGAGCGTGCGTAGAGTAGTAGGTAAGTACTTACGTACGTGCGCGTGTACTAAATATGCACCCTAAATCACACGCACGTCTAAAAGTTTTTTTTTTTTTTGCATTTCTCCTGACACGATATTCAGTCAACGTAATCGAATAAAAAAAAATGATGATGATGATGATAATAATAATAAGTAAATGAAAAAGAGAAAAAAATTCTTTTATTACGCGTAATTTTAACCGCGAAAAAAAATTTTTTTTTTTTAAACTTTATATCTTTGACGACGATTTTTGCTTAAATTTCACGCGCGTTCCCAAACGTGCGTAAAATAATAATAATAATAATAATAATAATAATAATAATAATAATAATAACAAATTTACAAACTTTAAAGAAAGAAACTTTATAAATAAGACACGAGAAAATCACGTTCTTCTCTTTTTCCTTTTTTTTTTTCTACAGAAAATTTAAATCTTTTAAAAACACGTTTGTAGAGTTTAATGTTTTTTTTTTTTTTAATAAATTTTATTTATACTTTAATAATGATAATAATAAAAATAATAATAATAGTTATTTTAAATTAACGAACGTATTTGATAACCTAAAAATTTTCTTTTAAAAAAAAAAAAATCGACAAAGTGTAAAAAGAATCGTTTCATAAATAATATTAATTTTAATGTAAGTGCACCTGCACCCAAGTGCACGTGCACTAAAAAAAAAAAATGTCAGTTTGGAAGATACCTAGCCGGGAGTGGTGGTGTACTCCTGTAATCCAACTACTTGGAGGCTTGGTACTGAGGATGTTTTAGGGGAGGGTTCTGAGATTGGATTTCCATGTTGACTAATCGTCTGCTAGAGGTAAACCTTCAACTTGGATGGCTTGGGGGAGCTTGGAGTGGCCAGGTTGAGTCTGAAAAAAGCAAAAGTTACAGAATTGAGAGTCGTGGGTTCAAATCTTGGGGTGGGAGTTCAATTTCTTAACGAGAACAGACCTGTACCTACGTAAGGGGATAAGTAACTAGATCCCTAATGCGCCAACCCTTGCTCGGGGGGGTAAAACTGGGTACTTGATCCAGATAGGGCAAAATGCGGAGCTGCAATGAGAAAGAATGACAGATGAACGATCATCGGAATTCGGGACCCCGGACATCTCTCTTTCTCTCTCTTCGGAAAATCGTTGGCCTAACGAAGAGGTGGAAACAATAGTAATAAATCGGGATTGTTTCTCAAAGCGTAAAAAAGGGAAGTATTGAGATCTTCTCTTCCTCAGGTGGGGATCCCACCCTCGCAAACCTGATAGTTCCGGCTCAGGATGGGTTTGAGGCTGAAATGCAGGTTAAAATTCCCTCGAGTGCCCTTCCCACCGGGAAAGAATGTCATTTGGTTAGTAATTTCTTCGGCTGAGTCCCCCCACTCTCCCTGCCTACCAGGGGATTGGGGAGCTTATTGCGAAATGCATTTCTCTTGGGTTAACAAAAAAAAATAGAAAAAACCTTTTTACTTTTAACTAATATAATTTAAACGAGAAGAATGAGAAATGAGGTCAACATTTACCATTTATTAATTTTTTTTTCTAAAGTTTCTAGAAATTTCTATTTCTTTAATAGAATAAGAAGAAGAAGAAAGAGAGAGAAAAAAAAATATTTTTACGGATAATTAGTACGAAGTGGACGACGGATAATAATTTTTTTTTAAATTAATGAGTATCTTTACGTTTATTATATATACGAGACATTTATTTTAAAATAAATAAAAAATTATTACTTTCATTTTTTATTTAATATTATTAGATTATATAAGTTCTTTATATAAAAATAAATAAATACTATATTATAGTTTAATTTATATAGCGCTATAAAAAAATATTTTAAAATAATTGATTTAAACTTTCTTTTTTGTTTGTTTTAAATTCAAAAAACCGACGACGTCGACGTCGATTTTATTTTAACGGGCGAACGAATTAACAAAACAAAATTTAAAACCCCTCCCCCTCCCCTCTCCCTGGGTTCATCGTTCTTATTTTCCCCACCCCCGCTCTCCCCGTCACTCACATGTTTCGTGGAAGAAGAAGAAGAAGAAAGACAAAAAGGTAGATTTTAGGTTTTTTTAAACCCAAATCCTCTTCGTTTGTTTTGTTATTCGTTTATTATTATTATCATCATCGTTTTTTTAAATTTTTTTTATTTGTCGTCTGCTATTTAATTACTTTCACTTCTCGGTTGATTTTCAAAAAAAAATCGCACGTATAACAAGTGTGAAAATTTTCACCGATTTCAATACGACGAAAGTGTAAAAAACAAAAGTTTTTTTTTTTTTTTAAATTTTTTTTTTCCCCGGAAACGGAAACGACTCTCGCAAATTTTCATCCTTAGAATTTTTCTTAGCAAAAAAAAAAAATGGAAAAATTTTAAGATGATAAAAAAAATTTTTTTTTATTCACTTTTTAAAAAAATTATATAAAAGTTTAAAAAAAAAAAAAGATCAAAAGGAAAAAAAACGTGGAAGGAAGAAAAGTATCATAGTCGGATTTTTAAATAAAAGAAAAAAATTACAAACGGGAAAAGGGAAAAAGAAAATCATTTGGGAAAAAGTTTTTCTTTTTTTTTCCTCCCTCCACCCACCATTCCCCTTTCATCTCCCCACCTTCTCCCTCCCCGTTTTTTTTTTTATTTTAAAATACGAAAAAAAAAAAATTTCTTTTATTTGAAATGTGACGTCACACAAAGGAAACGCCATATTTTTTAAAAATAAATTCAGGTCTCTTAAATTTTAAAAAATTCTTACACGTTTTTATTCGATGGGTAGGCACATGCACGCACGCACTCACTCACTCACTCACGTTTTTTTTTCTATTTATTTATTCATATTTTTTATTATTTTAAATCTAATGCCACGATTATTAAAAACCCTTTTAAAAATTAATAAAATCACTATAAAACCGAATAGGGTGCTTTCCCTCCCCCCAAAAAAAACAATTTTTTAACAGTTGTAATTTTTTTTTTTTTAAATAACTATACAAAATGTAATGCGATTGTAGATCATTGTAGTCATGACGTGGTATTAGAAAAAAAATTTTAAAAGTCGTATAAGTAAAATGAATCAACGAATTATATTCATGACGTCACGTTTTCTTATGATTTTTTAAGTCGTTTAGAAAAAAAACATTCTAGTGTTAATTATTATTATTATTATTATTAGTATATTGATTAGCATAATTTTTTCTTTCTTTCCTTTTTTATTTATTTGTTTAAAAAGAACCTTTAAATTTCTCTCTAAGAAGTTTCTAGAAAAATAAATAATTTAAAAAAAAAAAAAAAAAGAAAAAACTTTCCCTCTTGTGTGTTGTTGGTGACTTATGAGACTTGAATGTAAATGAACCGAAAAAAACTTTTTTTTTTTTTTGTTTTCGGGGTAAAAATCGAAACGTAACATCGTGAGGGGTGAGATGTAGACAGGGGAGGGAGGGAGGGAAAACAATAAGAATCAAAACAATAATAATAATCAATATCAATACCCATTCGTAAATTATTTTCATTGTTTTTTTTGCCACCGAAACAAAAAAAAAGTAATAAAAATCCGTGAAATCTTTTTTTCTTTCTTTTTTTTTAATACGGTTTTTATTATTATTATTATCGCGTCACAGTCATATCGTGACGCGGTGGTAATATTAATTGGGATAAAATAAAAAAAAAAGAAAATAAATAATTTTATACTACACCTGATTTAAAATGTAACGGAAATAAATTTTAATCGATGATGATGATGATGGGAGCGTATATAAAAAAAAAGGTTCAAGGTTTTTATCCTTGTCGGCGAGACGAGTAGATTAAATATACGAGGAAAGCAACAAAGGAGAAAGCTTGAAAAAAGGTGTTACCAGTTAGTGTATATATGATGCAATCTGACAATGAATTACCCGAAGTGAAAAAAAAAAAAAAAAAAAGACGTAACGGATGAAGAAGGATAGATCATTTTTTCATTGGTAAAAAAAAAACTCCCGTATCGATACCGATACAAATCCAAATAATTATAAATTGATATAGTATCATATGAGTTAAATAAAGAGAAAGTAAATTCTTTTTACAATGCTCGAGTTGATTTAAAAAAAAAAAAAAAAAGAACGACGACTACGACGACGATCGAGGAGGCTAGGCAAAATGTCTGGTCTCTCCTTCGTGGAACTTATGGAGGGTAATAATAGAAGAGTTAAAGAAAAAATTGGGGGGTACACAAAAACGACAGATCCTTGTTGAGGAAGACATAAATAATACAAGTCTGACTATTTTTTACTCACAACAGTTCAATCAGAGATAGTGAAAACTTTAAAAAAAAAAAAAAAAGTGACAAAGTCGGGAAATTCTTCATCGTCGTCGTCGTCGGAAGAAGACTAGTTTGTTCGTTGATTTTTTTTTTCGTAACGGTTTTTTTACCGAATAAAAACTTTTATTATTATTATTATCATCGTAAAAGTTTTCGTAACGTAAAAAAAGAAAAATGCGAGGTTTTGTGTCGGTGGTGATTACGATTATCGGTTTGGTGTCGGCCGCTTTGGCTTTTCCGAGCACGGAAAAAATTTCTTATACATCTCAACCGGAAGATAAATCATTTTTCGAAGAAGGTATCGATGTCGCATACAGGTTTATTAAAGATTGCGGTGACAAAGATATGTCTTTGTGTTTGAAAATGAGAGCTTTGACATTCGTCGACAGAGCTCTAAGAAAAAATGAAATATCTATTACCGATGGTGTCAGCCTCGTGAAAACTGATAACGCACAAGAATCATTAAGGTGAGAAAGATCGTAATAATAATAATAATTATTGATATTTTTCCATTTCAAAAAAAAACCTTCTAACGTTCTACTTTTTATATTAACTTGACCTTAAATTCCATAATATTTTTATGCCACCGGTCAGGTTGTTGTTGTTGTACGTATCAACATAATTTTTTTTGTTTTGTTCAGGTCATTGGGTGCTAGAGCATTATCGGAAAACGAGCTCGATAGTACTTTATCAAAAGATGACGAAGAAAAAGATTCACAAGTCGAATCACTTTTAGTAGATAGAATCGCAAGGTTTTTTCAAAGTCACATACTACAATTTAAAGTTCCTGATTCGTCCATAAACGAAGTTAAAAAATCATTGGATGAAGGTAAGTACCAGAAAGAATGAATGATTGAATGACTTATTAACATAGTTTCATTCCGAACAATTTTTTTTTTATTGTTTGTCGTTTAAAAACAAACAGTCTATTGAGCGAATAATAATGAGTAAACGTTTTTTTTTAAATATTCATAACGATTATTCACTCCTTTATTTACATTAAACGGTATGTTAAGTAGTAGTAGTGGTAATAGAATGACGATTGCGTTTGTTTGTTTGTTTTAATAGCTCGAGGAAAAAAGAAAAAATTGAAAATGCTCCTTCCTTTGCTTTTACTACTTAAACTCAAAGCAGCCGCCATTATACCGATAGCACTTGGAGGTCTTGCATTACTCGCATTAAAAGCATTACTCGTGAGCAAATTGGCATTGGTATTAGCAGCCGTACTCGCATTGCAAAAATTATTTAATAAAAATAATCATTCGAGTTACGAAGTGGTAGCACATCCTGTACATCACGAAGAACACGATCACGGTCATTATGGTAGATCCATTCAAGATGCTCAGGATTTGGCATACGCCAAACAAAAACCTGAATAATAAATTTTTTTTTTTACGTAATGTTTTTTATCGTGTACAAATTTTTAGTTTTCTTTTCTCTTAATTATTTGTTATTTATTATTTATTTATTTATGTTTTTTTATTTTTATTTTATTGACACGACAAAAATTTTTTTTTTTTACTTGACTGACGTGATAAAACGATTTCAGATTAATTTTTTTTTAATATAATATTTGATTTTAAAAAAAAATTTTTTTAATTTTTCGTACTAGACGTGGTGACTGACTGAACAAACGACTGAACATTTTTTTTTTTTTCTATTCTTATGACACGTTCGCTACTCTTAAAAATTTTTCGACTTAAATACACGACTTACTACGACGAATTAATAAAAAAAACGACGGACGGAAATCGGGGGAAAATAAACAAAAATAATAATTTTTTTTTTGACGTGGAAATAGACAATTTTTTTTATTTATTATAAAAATAATTATTCATTACGAATTATTAGAAAATAATATTAATAAATTTAATAAAAAATATAAAATTTATAATAACTTAATTTTTTTTTCTCTCTCTCTCTCTCTTCGATTCCTTTCATTTACAAAGATCACACGCACAAAAGGAAACGGAAGTAAGTAAAAGTTAAAACACAAAAAAAAAGGTTTTTTCTAGAACCTTTTTTGGCCGTGAAATTTTTTTAAGATGAATAACAGTTTTAAACTTTTTTTTAAAAATTGACCTCTTTAAGGTATTTAAAAAAAAAAAAAAAGTTAATAAACTATGCCCGCCTACTTGTTGTACCTGAAAATATGTAGTTCATGTCGAGTAGGTGCGGTTCACATAAAGAAAGAAAGAAATGATGAACAAATAAAAAAAAAAAAAAAACGTTTTCAGTTTTTAATTTCACTGTCGTGTATATACATAAAAACATTCTTTCAAACTTTTTCATTCATGACGATTCATTTCCCTTCCCCTTCCCTTTCCTTCTCTTCCTCTTTCCCTCTCCCTCGTCCGATCCAGTTTTAATGTGTGCGTGAGTGTGTGTGTGTGTGTGTGTGTGACACGCGTGAATAAATCAAATTCTACGTTCGAATCCTTTTTTTTTTTGTTAATAATTATTAAACATTTTCCAAAAATTTTCACTTTCTTGGAAATTTCAATTACGATAATTATATATATTTAAGGAGCGTCAATTCCTGGAGAAAATCATTTCCGTTGATTAATTACCTTAATGTTTAACATTTAAACGATTTTCTTTACACTTTCATTTAAAAAAAAAAAAAAACTAGAAAGTTTAAAGTAAAATTATCATCATTAACTATTATGCCATATTTATACACATATATGCCACAAAAAGAGAGAAAGAGAGAAGAGAGAGAGAGAGAAAAAAAAAAGAGGAGAGAGAAAAAAAAAAAGGAGAAAGAGAAAGAGGCGACAGAGGGATAGAGAAAGAGAGAGAGAGGGATATACACAGTTAAATATTACGAAAGGTTTTACCAATTTTATTTAATTAATAATAATAATAATAATTGTTAATAAGTTTTTATTTAAAATAAATATAATTCATTTGTTTTCGAATAAAAATTGCTTCCACGATTATTTCCATCAATTCGATTTTCTTCGATGAAGGCTTTTCTCCAGTTGTAGGACGCATGTTTCACTTAAATCGAACCTTTTTATGAAAAAATACGGCTCAAAAAAAATTTCGCGGTTTTTTTTATATTAAAAGTTAATAATTCTACAACCACGATAAAAAAAATTAAAAATCGTAACAAGAAGAGAGAGGGAGAGGAAAAAAATTAATAATAATAATTTTATTTTGCGGTTTCATCATCATCATCATCATAATAAAAATTATTAAATATATAATATTAAACCCGCGTAAAATTTTATTATTAAATAAATATTTTAACGAGAGATCTAATCGTTTTATATTTAATTTTTTTTATTAAAATAAAATTACGAAAGTGTAAATAATTTCGAGCTAAAAATTTATAAAAAAAAAAAAAAAAAAAAGTGCGTGGAAAATGTGCTTCGCGATAAAAAAACAGAATTATATTTGCCGGTTTGAAAATAAAGAGACTAGTGACACGATAAAAAAAAACATCGTCGTGTTATTGTTGTTGTTATTGTAAAATAATGACCATTGTTGAAATATGACGAAATTGTATATTGTTTGAATTTTAACATAAAATTAAATGCGTCTCTCATTCAAATCCGAGATTTATTCTTATCAAGAAAATAAAAAATATTGATAAAAATGTTGCAAAAAATTGTTTTTTTTTGTTAACCCAGGAGAAATGTATTTCGCATTTAACCTCCCCACCCGGCAGCAGGGAAAGTGTGGGACTCAGCCGAGGCCACTACCCAACTAAAACTCTTGGATGTGATTAGCTCCGCTTTTTTTTTTTTCCCTGAGGAAGAGAGGCGGTCGCAGGAGTATGACCCGCATTTCAGCCTCAACCCCCCCCCCAAAGCCGGAATCATCAGATCCGCACTCGTGAGGGTGGGAGCGAATCCCCCACCTGCGTAGTAGCCGCTGCAGAGGTCCGCTCCACCCAATTGAGATACCCCCATCAGCCATCTGAGGAGGCATTCCCGAGGTTTCACTTTCGATCCAGCCACCCATACTACACAATTTATACAAAGTACATAAATATATATACAATATACAAATACATACATAAAATTACATAGTAAAATACAATAATCATGTTAGAACGAGACCTCGAAGGAGACCCTCCACCAGTTCCATAATGGTCAGGTCCCCCCCCTAAACTAGAACGAAGCGTCGCCTGTCATCGGCTCATCTCGGGCACTCCGAAAGTGTGTGACCGACATCGTCCTCAAGCGCACCGCAGAACCAACACTCCGTTGTTTCTTCTTTGCCAATGCGCACAAGGTACGAGCCAAAGACAACGTGTCCCGTAAGTGTTTGCGTAAGCCGAAAGAACAACGCTCCATGCTCACGCCCCACCCATTCAGGTAACCGCGAATCTAGCACGCGGATGGTTTTCCCCCGTAAAGTTTCCGGCCATCCTCGAGCCAAATCCGCCAAGTCTCGAGGACGCTTTCCCGTACTACTTTACGAAGCGCGTCCCTCCTCGATCTTTTCCTCGCGCGATAGAGAATCAGTTTTTTCAACGCAAGTAGATCGAGAAGAGGGGTCTCCAACAGAACGCAAGCAGCATCCGCGGCAACGTCTCTGTAGGCCATTACGATCCTATTCAGAGACGCCCGTTGGAGCTCAATTGCTCTCCCCCTGAGGAGTACAGACCCGAAAACGGCTTCGGCTCACACCGGAGCCTCGTACAGGACTATGGAGTGGACCATCGTTACATAGAGCTTCCTAGTAACTACCCCCCGAGCTCCAGAGATTGGGCATTAATTTTCCCAAGGACGAGCTGGTCGCCCGGAGTTTAAAGTCGAGAGCGGCCAGGTTTTGCGCGAAAGGGAGTCCCGAGTCTAAGGTCATCCCCAGATATTTCAAGATTACTCCTATCCTTATCTCGCTTTCCTCCAGCCTTAAAGCCGGATTCCGCGGAAACGGGTTGTACGAGCTATGAAAACCGCAGGATTCCGTTTTCGGTAAGCGTACTCGTAGACCGATGTCATGGATTGCCTCTACCGTGACACACAAACCTAATTCGGCGCGCTTTCGAGCCTCGGCCCAATCATGACCGATCACCAGCAGAAGAGTGTCGTCCGCGTAACACGTGATCGATACACTTTCAGGAAGAACAGTTCCGGTAAAAGCATTCATCGTAGGCAATGTTCCACAGCAGCGGTCCAAGGACCGACCCCTGCGACACACCGCAGAAAACGTTTAAACAACTTGCCCTCAACATCGAGAAGACAGAATGGCCGATACGCACTAGGTGACGTCAGATCACGGCCCGGTTTCGGAAGCATCACAAGCTTCCTTCCATTGGCGCGGGAACGTCGAGGTTCGAATTTTTATTTTCTTATTATTTTATTTCAAAAAAAATTTTTTTCTGGTTATTTTGAAATTTAATTCTTTAAAAAAAAATAAAATAAAATCTAGTAAATATATTTTTTTTTGTTTTTTAACCAATCGTAATTGGTCTTGGAGTATGGTTGTACCATTCCTTAGCTAGTCCATCCAATCCATATTTACGACGGATATTCCAATGGAGATATTTACATATTTTGTTGTACATTTCTAAGTATTCCTTTTTTTGGCAATATCGGACAACCGGAAATTAAATGATAGATGGTTTCCGACTGCGATTGGCAACTTCGACACATATCGTCTCGGCGGACTTTGAGAATTACCTTCCCAAAATTATGGGTCCGCAATTATTATGATGACGATGATTATTATTATAATTATTATTTTTGCACCTATAAACAGGTGAACGGAGATTTTATATTCACCTGATACCTTAGATTCACTAATTGTAAGTATTTTTAATACTTTTAATGGGAAATATGTTGAAATGTATCAGGCAAACATAAGGAAATGGAAGTGTAAAACAAGATACAATCAATGGATTCGCACTTAAAAAATCAGGAGTAGAAATAAAAAACAAATAATATAAAAAAATAATTTTATTAAAATAAACTATATTACAAAACTTTTGATACACATAACTTATAACTAAATTTTTAAATAAAACTAATAAAATTAATTTAAATAAGTTGACATGCTATTAATTTTATAGATTTTCTTTTTTTTTCGTTTTTTGGTGTTGTTTTTGTTTTTGTTTACGTTTTTTGGTGTTGTTATTGTTTTTGTTTACGTTTTTCGGTGTTGTTATTGTTTTTGTTTACGTTTTTTGGATTTTTTTTTTTTTACGATTTTTGGATTTTTTTTTTGTTTACGTTTTTTGGTGTTGTTATTGTTTTTGTTTACGTTTTTTGTTGTTGTTATTGTTTTTGTTTACGTTTTTTGGTGTTTATTTTTTTTTCAAACAAGGAGTGAAAATGGAGGTGTGGATTTATAGTTAAAGTCAGGTGTACAAAAATTTGAAATCAATTATTAATAAATATTTTTATTAAATCACTTTTAATTTTGTTACAAAAGTTACAGATTATTTGTATATTTAAACTTAAAATAATATAATTATTACTAAAAAATATAAAAAACTAATTACATCACAAGCCGATTTTAAATAGTAATAAGATTTACATTTTAAAAAAAATTAATAATAATAATAATAATAATAATAAAATTTAAAAGTTTTGTTTAATAATTTGTACAAAAAAAAAAAAAAAATTTATAAAAAAATTTACTTTTTACGCGCCAAGTACGAGCCGAACACCCCGTGACCCGTGAGAACCTGAGTGAGACGGTAAGTAAAGTTTCCGTGACCCCGCTCCACCCAGTTCCCCACTCAGGGGCCCAGGACGTTTACAATTTTTCCGCCGTAACGTCTCCGACCGTCGTTAAATGGCGCCTGCCAAGTGTTAGCTGTCCTAGGCCCGCCGCGATCCCGCTCGCGATAGAAGACGAGTCTCTCCATCGCGAGGAGATCGAGCTGGGGGGTGCCCGACAGAAGACGAGCCACCTTCGCCGCGACGTCTCTGTACGCCATCGCCACCTTGTTCAGAGACGCCCTTTGGAGTTGAATCACTTTCTCGCGAAGAGACCGAGCTGTCGAAACAAAGACTGGAATCGAGAACCGAACTCAAGTATTTTAGCATGCCCCCCAGTCCGATTCTCACGTTGTCTACACTTACGGAAATGTAGCGACTTTGCCGGTTTTGCGGACGATGAAACCCGTACGCTTCCGTTTTCGGCACAGACACCCGAAGTCCGATGCCCCGGATGGCTTCCACCGTCGCGAAAAGTCCCGATTCGGCGCGTTCGTGAAACTCCGCCCACCCGCGATCGGTCGGGAGGAGCAAGGTGTCGTCTGCGTAACATGTCAACGATACACCTTCGGGAAGAACGGTACGGGTGAGGACGCGGTCGTAGGCGATGTTCCACAGAAGTCATTCTAGAACCGACCCCTGGGGCATGCCATAGAACACGTTCGCCCTTCCCGTCGTTCCGTCCGGTTTCTTATACGCGATCTTTCTCTCCGAGAGGAAGGAACCGATGATCGACGTCTAGTAGTCGGGGACAGACTTCGACGCCAGTCCGTCCCTTATCGCAGACCATGGTACCGAATTAAACGCGCTTTTGATGTCAACCGACGCCGCCCCGACAAAGAATGGACTCCGGCGCACACGCGGTCGAGTGCGTCGGTCGTCGAACGGCCCGCCCGGAAGTCGTACTGATTCAGAGAGAGGTCGTTCCTCCCTTCTCCTGAGCGTAAATGTTCGTTTACTCTAGAGACGATTACGCGCTCAAACAACTTGCCCTCTACGTCGAGAAGCCAAATCGGCCGATACGCGCTCGCCGTCATCGGATCCCTAGCCGGTTTGTCCAGCAACACGAGGTTCGCTTCCTTCCACAGTGTCGCGTCGAGATACGCGCACACAGCACCCCGATAGACTCGCCGAGAATGCGAGCCTTTCGGGCCTGAAGCCGAGTGCCTCTTGGAGGCCGCGTCGAAGAGGAGGCGAACCTCCCCCTCCGTTACGGCGTCGCGAATTTTGCCGTAAGGGAAATCCGCCGGGGAAGAGCTCTGCGATGACCTCTGCGAGAAACTCCTCTGTCATGCCGGTTGTCAGCGGTCCCGACAAACCCCTCAGTTTATTCGTCACGAGACGGAACGGGAAACCCCACGAATCCAAATCTACTTCGCTCAGGAGCCCCTTCCAACTCTCATCCTTCGAACTCCACATCGTTCGGCGAACCCAAACACACGAAGCCTTCCACTCCACCTTTAAACACGTGAGTTCGTCGTCGTTCATAATGTTCTCGTAATGTCCGCCTTGTCAGATCAATAGTCTTTTTCTGCCGACGAACCGGCGACGGTCGAGGGAGAACTCCTTCCACAACTCTCCCATCTCGTCCGTTCACTAGTACTTCGGCCGATTCCGCGTCTTTGCCGAGATCCGCCGTAAGTCTTTTTGAACTTCTCGCGCTATATCGTGAACGCTTCTTATGAGGCCTAAAACAACTTCATCTCTCAGGCCTCCGCGACGAGGCACTCGGCGAGCCGTCTTTTGTCGGACGATTTCAGACTCCACCGGGGCGAGACGACGCGAGGCCCGTCAGACAAGAACTCTGTCCTCTCCCCGAGCTCCGAGGAGCCCGGAACGAGAACGCTACGTAGGCATGATCGCTCAGGGACTTGAAGTCGGAGAGGACCTCCCAGCCGGAGACTCGCGCCGCCACCGCGCCGGACGAAACCGTGAGATCGATTGTGAACCCGCTGGTGAACCGCACGCACGTCTTTTTTCTATTCTTGTTGCACACAATGAACTGACGCTCGTTAAGGCTGTCTGAGCAGACCTTTTTACGGAGGGAGTGTGGAGCTCGGTATGGATTTAAAGAAACCCTAACCGGGAACCCATACCCACTTAAACTCCTGGGCATGTCACAATAGCGTGGTTTATGTGAAGAGGGGGGGGGGAAACGCTCGTGGAAGTAGAACCTACATTTCAGTCTCCCCTCTCCGGTAAGCCAGAAGGTTACCGTTCCACACGATTTTCTTTGGGGGAGATGCGCTCTAATCTTCGTTCCGCCGTCATCTCGAAGATGAGAACACATCTCCTAGGACGTTCGGCAGTCCCTTTCGAGAGTTTCCTCCGGTCTTTCGCTGGGGGGGGAACGGGAACGGAAAGCTCGGCTGCTTCCAGAGATTGCGGCCGGGAGTGTGAATTCAGACTAGAACTTTGCCATCTGAATAAAGGGTACATTAAAAAGGAAAGTGAAGACGTTTTGTGACCGCATTCTCTCCTAACGGGTAATAAGGACTAAATGGGGGGCAAGACCGGCCAGGACCGCTGATCGAAGCTTTCGTTCGTCGTCACACCTCGCTAATTGAAGACGTCGTCGTTGTCATCTGCATCCTCGTCTTCGTCCTCCTCCTCCTCCTTCCGCCGACGACGTTTCCTCTCCCTCGGCAGATGACAAAGATTCGGAACCGCTCCTTCATCCTCCTTCTCTTTCTCTTCTTACTTTCCTTCCTCATCAGCGGGATTTCTTTTTCTTTTACACCTAATCCTAACCCTACTCGGCCGGAGCGTCCGAGGACGAACTCCGGATTTTTTACGCTCGCGTTTGCGGTCTTTTTTCGTCCGCAGGACCGCTTCCGAAAATCGCGAAATCGCGGACCATTACCGGGGTCCGCGAAGCAACGCGTCCAAGAGGCCGCGGATCGACAGGTCGGGTCCGATGACTCCGACAAGCCGCTGTCTGTGTTCGTCCCACGAGAGACATTTCGCGACCGTGTGCTCGACGTCGTCCTCGGGCACAAAACAGAACCAACACTTGGCCGTCTTCTCTCTGCGGCAATGTGTTGGTTCTGCGCCAAGTACGAGCCGAACACGCCCGTGAGAACCTAGATGAGACGATAGGTCAAAACTCCGTGACCCCCCCACCCAGTCCCCCACTCGGGGGTCCAGGGCGACGACGATTTCGCGGTCGTCGAAACGCGCTGCCACCTTCGAACCGTGCGATCGCGAAGTCGCCTGCGGAAGCAGGCTCTTCTCGGCCCGCCGCGACCTCGCTCACGATAGAGGACAAATCTCTCCATCGCGAGGAGATCGAGCGGGGGAGTGGCCGACAGAAGGCAAACCACCTCCGCCGCGACTTTCCTGTACGCCGTCACCACCTTGTTCAGAGACGCCCTTTGGAGTTGAATGGCCCTCTCGTGAAGCGGCCAAGATGCCGCCATTGATTCGGCCCACACCGGCCGTACAGGGCCACGGAGTGGACGACCGTCGCGTACAATCGCCTGACCCTCGCCCGCGGACCCCGCAGGTTTGGCATCAGGCGCCCTAACAATGCGCTCGCGACTCGGGTATTCGGTCCGAGGAGCGCGAGGTGTTGCCCGAAAGTGAGACCCGGGTCGAAGGTGACCCCCAGGTACTGGAGCGTCCTCCCCACCTCGATCTTGAAATCCCCAGACGACAGTGCCATTCCGTTAGGAAGCCGATTCCTCGGACGATGGAATCCACAGGCTTCCGTTTTCGGCAGAGACACCCGCAGTCCAATGCCGCTGATGACCTTCACCGTCGCGTGAAGTCTCGATTCGGCGCAATCGCGAACCTCCGCCCACTCGCGACCGGTGGAGCAGGGTGTCGTCCGCGTAGCAAATTAACGAGCAACCTTTGGGAAGGACGGTCCGGGTGAAGATATCGTACTCGATATTCCAGAGGAGCGGCTCGAGGACCGACCCCTGGGACACACCGCAGAAAACGTCCGCCGTTTCCGTCGTTTTGTCCGGCTTCTCGTACAAAATCTTCCTCTCCGAGAGGAAGGACCCTATCAACGACACGAGATAGTCGGGATCGAACTCTGAAACCAGTCCGTCCCTTATCGCGGACCACGGAACAGAATTAAAGGCGTTTTTCACGCCGATGAAAACCACGATCGCGACTCCGCCCCGGCGCAGAGTTTCCTTGACCTCGTCTCGAACTCGAACGAGTGCGTCGATCGTGGAACGGGCCGCCAGGAAGTCGTACTGATTCGGAGAGAGGTTGTTCCTCCCTCCGTACGCCCCCATGTAACCGATAATCACGGTCGAACAACTTACCCTCCACGTTGAGAAGGCAAATCAGCCGATAAGCGCCGGGCATCGACGGGTCCCTACCCGATTTTTCGAGCAGCCCGAGGTTCGCTCGCCTCCACTGCTTCGGAAACAACATCTTTTCGAAACACGCGGTGTAGAGCGATGAAAGACGCGAACACATCACTCCGGCAGACCTGCCGAGGGTTCGATAATGCACACCGCTCGAGCCCGGAGCCGAGTGCTTCTTGAGGGCCGCGGCGAGGAGGATGCGAATCTTCCCCTCGGTGACTCGGTAGCGTTCGCGGTCGAAGGCGAAGTCCGCCGGAGGAAACGCGTAGGGCGCGACGCGAGGAAAGAGCTCCGCGACGACTTCGGCGGGAAACTCCTCCGTCATGCCGGCTGTCAGCGGCCATGACGAACTCCCCAGTTTATTCGTCACGAGACGGAACGGGAAACCCCACGAATCCGAATCCACTTCGCTCAGGAGCCCTTTCCAACACTCATCCTTCGAACTCCATATTGAACCCGCGACGTCCACCACTCCGCTTTAAGCCCCAAAACGATAAAAACCGTTTACGTGCAGGTCGACTCTCCTCGCGGGACGCGTAACCGTGACCCCCATTAACCCTGAGGAGCACGCCGACCTCACGCAACATGGCCCGTAGGAAAGTTTCAAAATCTGTTATAGGGCGTGTGGGTGACGCGTACATCGACATCAGAAAGGTGTCCTCCCAGCCAGCTATAACGAAGCCATCCACCCTGGACAAAACTCATTTTTCGGGAGTGTTCTCCGATCCTTCGCACGGGGAGAAACGGATGGAAAACTCACGCGTTTTCTGAGAATGCGATCGGAATGGGGATTTAGACTTACCGCCGTCGCCTGTAAAGGGTGAAAGTTATGTTATGTTAATTGATCGAATCCTCTCGAATGGTAAAACGGGTTCCTTGAGGAAAAGGCAGACGAAGGATCGATCGGGTCGCCAATCCCTCAAGAAATGTTAGGAAAGAAGTAAACAAAAGGGTACTTAACGACGACGATTTTGCGTTTGCCGCCGCAGCACTCAGCCGTCCGAAAAATCCTCGTTGCCGTCTCCTCTTCGAATTTTCTTTTTTCGGCGTCTCTCTGGGTGAGACGGTCGCGACCTGCCACATCGCTCTCGCCTCGGTCGCGAAAAACGCGAGTTTCCAGACGGAGCGACGCCGAACGGGGTCGCTACTCCGGTCCGAGCCGCCCACTATCCTTCCGCTTTGCGGTTCCGCCTGTTCGCTGGTGGGAGACCGAAGACACACACCTGAAAATAGATTATTAATTCCCCGCGCTCCCGGCGATCCCCGAGCGTAGTACAGGTTTGCAAGCATCCGCTGAGGTTTGCCCCTGAAAGCTGGATCACAAGTGCCCGCCGCGACTCCCGGCCGCCGAAGAACGCACGCCCAACTGTCCCAACGAGACGGGGCGAATCTTCCCCAACGTAATCGAGAAAGAGATCCGGATCTCGACCCCTACGCGCCCACAGGAAAACGGTAGCGACCTGCCGCGCCGCTTCCGCTTCCTCCGCAAAGAATCGAACTTCCGGAGACGAAGAGTACCCGCCGGGCTTCCCGCGGTCCGTCCTCCTTACTTCCCCGCTACCTACGAGATGACGATCAAAATCGACCACTTATCTCACAATCGGCGCGACGGTTCCGGTGAGAATCCGACGTCGCGTTGCCGAAGTCGTCGCTGTCTCAGGCTTCTTGTTCGCTAAGTTTGGAAATGCGAGCTTCCAGAGAAATGGCTCTCGGGGTCTGACCAGACCCGGAGAAGTGAGTCGCAGCCCAGCCGTCGGACGCATACCAAAGTCCGTCAGAGCTGGACCCTTAGTCGAAATTCTCTAAGGCTCCGAAATCATTGCTATACCCTCTCAAATCGCTTTATTTAACTTTTTACCCTCTCAAATACTTACTCCATTGTAACAATATATTTTTTATTTTTATTTATTTTTTAACACGGAAAGTTTTTTAAATAAAATTTATAGCGCTATAAAATTAAATCTCTCTTTATACGACTATAGATAAATAAAATCATAATGCACGCGTTACACACAGTAAATTATAGCAAATGATAAAAAAAATCCTTCGTAATTAATTATTATTATTTTTTCACTTAAAAAAAAAAAACGTTAAAACGTATAAATCATTTCTTATGACACGACTAATCGTCACCTAGTGACCGATGTCACGTACTAATAATACGCGATGATAACGTCGACTTTTTATTAAAAATTTTCGTTAATGACAATAAACGAATAAAGTTTTGCGATAAAACAAAATGGCGGAATCAAAAATAATAATAATAAATTTTTATGGAAGGAGGGTAATAATTTTAATTAATGTATTTCCTGTAGTAGTGGCAGTAGTAGTAGAAATAGACGGAAGGAAGTGAAACGTTTACTATCGACGAATACTTTTTCATTGTTTTTCGTTAATTACATATTAAAATTTTTTCTATTTCCACGTGTTTTCACTTTTAATTTATGAACGAAAACGTTTTTCCCAGGGTTTAGTACAATGCGAAAAAACTAAAGGTGGGTTAGTGTTTAGAAAAAAAATTTTTCAGTATATATTAGATGGTGTTTCGGGGAAGTAGGATCAATTAAAATCAGGACGACGACGAAGACGATCACCACCGCAACGTTAAAACCACGTCGAAATGAAAAATTTTTTACATTTTTTTTTTCCGCTGTTGTTGTTGTTGTTGTTGTGTCAACGCGTTCGTTGCATTATGTTAAAAGATTCGACGACGTTCGAACAATCTGTAAATTATACGTCACCGTCGTGGCAATGTTTACAACCTAAAAACGATGACGAAAACATAATCGAAATAGGTGAAAACATATTTTATTGCGCGAAAAAAAATTTATACATACATTTAATGAACAACGTGGATACCGAATGCGTCGACGTGGGTGACGGCGTGACTTTTATAAAAGAAAAACAAGATGACGAACTATCAAATCGTGAAATTTATCCAATGGGTAAGTCAAATTAAAATAATAACGTGGCAGTAGTGATATATTAATTATATAAAATCATTTATTAAACAGAAGAACCGACGAATTTTCGCGGTCTCATGGATGCTTATTCGGATTTTTTATCGAGAAGGAGCGCACGTTGGAATTTAGGATTTATTTATCCAGGTTTAGTTATGAGAATCGGACCGACATTAACGGGATCTGGAATTTTGGAATTCGGACTGGAAAAAAGACTCGATTATAACGACAGAGCAAATTTAGCACCGAGTATATAATAAATTTTTTAATCCCCGTCATTGTTTTGCTTTTTTACCAAAAGAACTAGTAAATTTTTTTTTTTTTTCAGGTCAAATGTTAATAAGACGTGTGATACTGCCACGTCTATTAGGTTTTAGAATGAATTTATCGAGTCTTCTTCCACTTATTATCGGTTTTATACTGATCGTAACTAAAAATGCATTTGTCTTCAGCAAAGTTACCTTGGGTTTATCAATTTTATTAACACTCAAAACGTTATTTTTGCTACAGTTTTTTAAATATTCAGAAAATAATTTTCAAACGCAAAATATTAATCGTCCGACAACCGTACAACACGATCCGGTTGATTTCGATGGTGAGTAGGCTACAAATTATAGCAAATTCTTTAAGTTTTATGTTTTGTGACACTTTTTCTCTTATTCTGACAGATTCCATATCCATAACGTCGTCGAACCATCATCACATTCGTCCTCAGGGATATTCTTTTACTGATTCATTATCGGATGCTTTTCTTAGTCACGTGGTTAAAAAAATCCCAACACCACCATCTTACACGTTAGAATCGTCGGAAAAATTTATACCTAAGAGAACAAGAACATCCGGTAAAAGAAATTTTTCGTGGGGGAAAAAAAGATGAAGATGCGTAATTAAAAATATTTATAATAATAATAATAATAATACAAATAAATAAATAAATAAAATTATTAAGATGTTGATGTTATTGGTACTCGCAAAGGACTCCAAACAATTTCCGTCGGCGGATATCCTCCTCCTCCTCCTCCATCACTTTGTGTTATAAAATCATTTTTTTGTATTGGATAATATCGACCGTATGGTATTTTAATATGATCGTGATAAAAGTGATTTTTAACTTTTGGAAAAATGGCGGCTGCCCATGATAAAAAACCAAACCACATGGCGTTGAGCGTGAAAACGCTCACGGCGACAAATGGTAAAGTTATCAAATATTTAATTACGATGACGACTAAAAGTGGCAGAAGAATTTTATGTAAAAATATTCTCGGACGAAGAAACGTTCTGGATGATTTAAAAACCGTTCGAGGTTTTTCCATTGTTTTTTTTACCATTGATAAACACTCACGTGGTACATTTTTACCATTTTTCATTTCCGTATCCAGTAAATTAAAAATCGTTTTATTTTTTTTATTTAAACATTCGGTTACATTATTTATTTTATAATCGCGACAATAATTATTTATTTCGCGACATAAATCAATATCTATCGATTGATTATCGATTCTTGATTTTCTTTCGCTCGTTGCGCCCGATTTCGTACGAGTTTTATCATCGTGGTCGCCATCGTCGTCGATTTGATAATTATCACTTATCATCAATGGTCTAGCATTATTTAAATCCATATTTTTTCCAGGTTCTTTAAAATTTTTCCAACCGACTTCCGTTAACGTATTCCAATGTTTCATCAAAATATTTTCATTACTTTTAGATACTTTATCACCATCATCATCATCATCACTTTCCGTTTTATTCGCGTAAAATTTACCCGAATGTATTTCGACATTTGTTCCCGTCACGTTTAATTCTTTTAATAATTTTAATACGTCATCAATATCTCTCTCATCTACGTCACCATCATTTCCGATATATAATTCTTTATTTCCGTTTTCTTTTGTGTATATTTTACTTTTGAGTGTTTTCGATTCCACTCGACAAACGAACGTTATTATCATTATTATTAAAAACGTTAAAATATTTTGAAATAAAAACATTTTTTACAATTTATTAATTTATTTCCAAATAAAATTTCCATAAATTTTTTTATTTTTTTCTCTCTCTCGCGCGGTAAATAAAAAACTTCCGGACCGGAAATACTCGAAACGCTAAACGAAAATTTTTTGATATTTTTTTGGTTTATTTATAGGTTTTTATATCGGTATCAATGATTTGGCGCAATGAATTTGAAAATTTTTTTAATTGAAATTTTTGTATGTTCGAATGAATTTGAAAATAAATTTTTTTGTTTGTTTGTTTGTTTGTTTGTGTTTGTTCGAACAATGTAAAAAGAAACGCTATAAGTATTATTATTTGAGATTTTACACGGTTTGTAATAGTTTTCTCTCTTTTAAATGGAAAACGTCAAAAAATTTGTGAGAAAATTTTTTAAATAATTTATAGAAAATACAAAGAAAATGGAAAAAACAAAATGGCGGTTCACAAGGTGATATTTATATATATGTGAGTGGAAAATTTATTATTATCGATAATGTTTCCGTTCGAGAAAAACTTTTTCTTAAAAAAATTTCTCGTGTTTTTCATTGAAGAGAGAAGGGGGGGTGGTGTTAGTGACATGATTAAAATTGTTTGTCGTTTTTAACGAACATAAAAAAAAAACGCAACAAACAAACAAACGCGACAACAAACTTTTTTTTATTTTTATTATTTTTATGTCCGTTAATAGTCGGCAAGACAAAAAGTTAAAAAAAAAAAAATTACGAGAAAAATAAAAGTCTAATAAGTTTATTTATTTATTGGTTTGTTTGTTTGTTTGTTTGTTCTTCTTTCTTATTTTTCCAATCTCGTTTTTTTTTTTTTTGAATCCCTGACTTAAAATAATAAATTTGATGGAAAATTACACGAAACGAAATAAAAACCTTCGTTTATTAAAATTTGTGTTTTGTTGTTGTTTGGATTTCGACGAACAAACAACAACCGTGAATAATTTTAAACAATCGGACCTAGTTTAATTATTAATTTAAATAATTGCCAAATTATTTTTTTAAAAAAATATGCGTTTAAGAATTGACGACGTATCCGTTATAACGTATAATTACATTCATGCCAACGACGAAAATATGCATAAACTCTACGCATTTCTAGAGAGTTTTTTTTTTTTTGCATTTACATTTTTCTCCATGATTGATCTCTATGAATTTCATAGATTAAATTAAAAAAAAAAATTCTCGAATCGAATGAGCGAGCGAACATTAAAAAAAATTAACTCCATTAAAAAAAAAAATTTTTTTAAAATTTTTTTCCCCCGAGTTTAGCGGGAAATTTATCAATGCCACCTATCGGTAAATTTTAAAACTATAAATTTTAAATTAACGAAAACCATCATGGCGTCGTCGACTTTCGTTCAATTTACTTTTTGTTTTATAAATTTTACATTTTTGAAGCGTCAACGGTTGCAAAAATTATTTTAAAAAAATAATAGTAAAGGCAACCATAAAATTTCCGATCTATTTCTACTTTTATTTTCTTCTATAGTTTAATTGTCATAATTTAAAAAATAAAAAAAAAATGGATGCGACCTTATCATACTATACAAAAGAAAAAAAAATTCAATAACCTCCTTACATGCTCTACATAATTTTAAATAAATAAATGAATGACATTAGCCAAAAAAAAATTAATGGCGACCGAATCGACGACTATCAACGGTTTGAACAACAATCATTTATCGATAATAATAATAAAATAATAATAATAATCATAATGATAATAATTTTTTTCCTAACTTTCGACGACGTGAAAATTCTCCGTCATTTTTTTATTTTTTTTCTTAAATTTAAAAATGATATTTATTCATTTTAGCCAACTTAACAAAAACTATAAATATATAGCCAACTTAAATGGAACAAAAAAAGAAACCGGAAGTAGTTAAAAATTAAAAAAAAATTTAAATTGACAAAGTTTGATCAGGTGTTTGTTTGTTCTCCTTTAAATAAATAATCATCGTATAGCGCTATAAAAAAATTTTAACCGTTTATTTAAATTATTCATTCGATTATTATTATCATTATTATCATCATCGTCGTTTATAGAGATTCGATATATCGTTTTGGAAAAATTATTAAAAGTAACGATGATGATTTGAAAAAAATTAAAAATAATAACCGAGAAATAGTTGATAGCATTTAAAAGAACCTACATTATAAAAACAGAGAGAGACTGATAATTGTTATCGTAACGAAAATTATTATTTTTTATTAAATGAACAAAACGTGGCAGAAGAAGATTTATGACGCGACACGACAAAAAAAAAATTATTATTGAGATTAATGAAAATCGTACGAATTCATACGTTATAAATTTTTTAAAAACTTTTTTCGTCGGGTGATGACACGTTTTACGTTGTCTATAAAAAAATAAACTAAAAAAAAAAAAATTTTCGTCGTGTAATTAGAAAAAAACTTAAACGATTTTAAATAAAAATTTTAAAAAAATTTCGTACGGGTTATTGAAATGAGTATTTTTTGTATTCTCGTAAAATTTTATTTATAGAGTTTCTATTTATAGTACTGAAAACGGTTTTTGTGGGGGGAGAGAGGGAGGGAGAAGAACGGGAAGGTAATGAAAGTAAGAGAAAGAGGGGGAAGGGGAAGGGGACAAAAACCCCGCGAAATTTTTAATTTTTTTTTAAACAAAATTCGGCGTGGCTAATAAAAGAAATTTTTTATGCATAAAAAAAAAAAATTAAATAATTTTTATTTAATTATCGATTTTCACCGTGATGAGAATAATAATAATAATCGATAGAACAATTCAACAGGGTCGTATTAAGGTTCGTGAATAAAAAAAGAAAAGAAAAAAAAAAACATTAATTGTACGAAATTGCTTTGAGTATTATTAAAAAAAAAAAACGTGTCACGATGTAAGGCTAAAAGGGGGATAATTGCAGTCAAAAAAAAAAAAAATTCAAAAAATGATGATGATGATGATGATGATAATAATAATTTAATCAAATATGGCTGGCGGGGATCGAAACGTTGGTAAATAAATTTTGTTGTAAAAAATTTTTTTAATAAATTTAAACATCGTCAGTCATACCGATAACATTATCCCGAAAAATTTTCGAAAAAATTCTACGTTGTGCGCGAGTGCGAAAAAAAAATTGTATGTTTGTTGTTTGTTGTGGTTGTCGTTGTTTGTTTAAAAAAAAAAAAAACATTTGAAATTAACGGAGGATTCGCATCGAAGATTTTTAAAAATAAATATTATCAAATACGATTTGACATATGAAGTTAAATTTGTTCACAGACGAAATATAAATTTGAATTTTTTTTTTTCAATCATAAGTCATTGTGTCTTATCGATCGCGTTATTTTTTTTATATTATTGATAACGATAAAAAAATATATTATAAAATATTTTTTTAATAACAGTGCTGGAGAAAAAAGAAAAATGGAAGGTTTTGTTTTATTGAAAAAAATTTACGCGTTAACAATATTATTTTTTTTAATAAATACTCCATTTTTAATCGATTGTCAAAATGAAAACTCTAATAAAATATTAATGAAAATGTTACGGGAATGCGGGGAGGGAAAAAAAAATAACAACGTTGGACTTTGTTTGAAAATAAAAACGGCGAATTTTCTGGAAAAACTGGATAATATGAAGGATCCACTTTTTTTAACGGATTATTTGGCATTAGTTAAAAAACAAAACGTTTCCAACGGTAAAAAAAAAAAATTTTTTTTTTTCTCACTTAAATAATTAATAACGTTTTTTTTTGTTAATTTACGATAGATGATGACGTTACGAACGTGGAAATAGAAGAATTGAAAAGATCGTTAGACGACAACGTTGATAAAAATAAAATAATAAATGATATCATATGGAAAAAATTAAAATCGTTTTTCAATACCCGAACTGTACAAATTTCTGATCCTTTTGGAATTTTTCAAGGTAAGGAAATGATTTCCTGCACCCCTTCCCCTCTTCCTACCACCCCTTGTACTCCTCTTCATCCCCTATCTGTCATCCTCCATGTTGGTTTTGTTACATTTTTAATCCAAAAAAATATACAAATCGTACTTCGTCTGATGTTGTTTTTTTGCGTGTATCAGGTCGAGCAAAAGGTGGTGATAAAATATTCAAAAAAGGTCACGGAATGATGATGATGGCGGGAATGATGAGTGGAATGCTAATGAAATTGATAATGACAAAAATTGCTTTTATCGCAGCAAAAGCTCTCGTAGTAGCTAAAATTGCTCTCGTCATAACCGTCATTATAGGTTTGAAAAAACTTTTCGGAAGTGGCGATGGCAGTTCAGAGGTCATTATAATAAATTAAATTTTTCTATTTTTTTTAAATTAGCGATAATGATAATAATAATTTGCGTGTGTTTTATTTAACAGCATTACTCGTCGTATTCTTCCGGTGAAGATTCTGGAAATTGGCAGAGAAGATCCGGCTATGATAAATATACGGATGGTGCAAGTATGGCGTATGCCGCTTATCGACCGACTAATCAATCTTAATTTTTATTTTATTTATTTATTAATTTATTTATTATATTTTTATTTATTTATTTATTTTTGTCTCTTTTTGTTCATAACTTATTCCTTTCGAAACGTTTTTGCGAATCGATCGAGCGTTTCCCACACGAAATACAAAAAATTACGACGACGCCATTTTGAATTACAAAAACGTTTTTTTCAATCAACGCTTAAAATCGGATTCGAAAAAAAAAAAAAAAAAAATTTTGCACGTTATTTACTTACGACTGTTGACGCCATTTTTTTTTTTGAAAAAACATCGACGACCGTCGTCGTCTCTCGAGACAATTTTTCCATGTGACGTTTTAGAATTTAAAAAAAAAAAAGAAAATTTCATCAAAACCGCAAAAAAAAATTCTCCCGGGAAATCATTATAAAAGTTTTTTTTTTTTTTCCATTAGTAAAAAAATTTACCGATGGTAACAAATAATGATAATAATAATAAACGCAATCGATAAAATCACCAAGAGTGATATTAATAATAATAATAAATTTTTTTATAGAAAGTGAGAAGAAAAACGAGAGAATTTAAATATAAAAAAAAAGAAAATTTTCGAAATGTTTAAAATTAAATTAATAATGATAGTGATGGAAGGTACACCGGAAATCCCTTTTTCGAAATCCCCAAAACGAAACCTGGAAAAGAAGAAAAAAAAAAATTTGTTACCTTAAAATTACTCTTATGCTAAGTGCCATCGAGAGTTGAGGAAATCCGATGGGTACTTCTCCTGTTCCTGGTCTCCACTCCATAGATGTCAGTCACTGGAGCCCCATTCCGGAAATAAATCGTTTCCATGTCGAATAAGATGGTCTGAGGAAAATTTACGAGAATTGTGGCGATGTCATAGGTTATGAGAAGACAAAACTTATCCATCAGGCATGCAGCATCCCTGTGATAATCCTTGGGGATCGGCGGGTAGAACCTGAAACAGATGTTGAAAAAGACATTAAAACATTAAGATTATTAGTGAAAATAATAATAATAATGGTTAAAACAAAAAACATTAAACGTCGTAAAGTTTAAGATCATAGAAAATTATCAATAAAAATATTTTTTGAATTGCATAATTATTATTATTATTATTATTATTATTATTATTTATAAACAATAAAGTTTACCACGGAAAACTTTTGGCAGGAAAAGAATAAAAGTTTAAAATTAAAGACAGACAAAAGAGAGAGAGAGAGAGTGTGTGGGAAAAATTTTTAAATCCACACCGTCAATGGAAAAATATATAAAAGAAATTTAATTGCATTAATAATCCTTTGAAAAAATTTGTTAAAAAAATATTCAATGAAAAAATGAAAAATAAAACTTTCGAATTTGAATTTTAAAAAAAAATATTTTTTCCCGCCAAAATTTTAAAAAATTTTTTCGTGTTTTAAAAGTATAAAAAATATTTCAATTTTAATTTTTTTAATTACCCAGGAGAAATGTATTTCGCTTTAACCTCCCACCCGGTGGAAGGGAGAGTGGGGGGGACTCAACCGAAGCCATTAACTACCTAAAATTCCTGGACGTGTTTCTTTCCCGGAGGGAGGGGCGCTCGCGGGAATTTTAACTCGCATTTCAGACTCAACCCCCCTTCTAAAAACCGGAATTTTAGGTTCACATTCGCGAGGGTGGGAATCCCACCTGAGAAAGATCCCAATTCTTCCCCAATTTACCCTCCGAGAGATGGTCCCGAGCTGTCATCATCGTTCCTGCCTCTTCCGTATGAGTTCCAGATAGAGAGAGAGAGAGAGAGATGTCTGAAGTTCCGAATCTCATTGATCGTTCCTCTGCCTTTCTTCTAATCACAGCTCCACATTTTACCTTATTTGGATCAGGTATCCAGACTCACCTCCTCGAACAAGGGTCGACGTATCCCAATGCCTCGAAAGTGCGCAAGGTCACTTATCTTCTGATAAAGATACAGATCTGTTCTTTAAACGAGCTGAAAAAGAACTTCCACTCCCAGGATTTGAACTCACAACTCTCAACTCCGATTTTTTCCCTTTTCAGACTCAACCCGACCATCTCGGGCTCCCCCTTCCAAGCATCCAAGTTTTACCCCTGGCAGATCCTAGTGAAGTTGGATTACAATTGTCACCACTACTCCCGGTTAATATACAAAATCATCATCATCATCATCATTTTTTTTTACGATATATACATATATAAATAATCTTTGAAAATCCAAATTGAATATAAAATTTATTATGCGTATATATATATATCCTATTATTTAATCGTATAAAATTTAAAAAAAATTGATTCAATTGAAATTCGATCACACTATAAAAATTGAAATTTTTTTTTTTTTTTTTTTCAATCAATCAATCAATTACTCGTGTTTCTCTTTTCGCTTTTTTTTCAACGAACTCATTTGAATTCCTATTCAATTTAATAAAAATATATATTTTTTTTTTCATTTTATTTAACGAAAAAATTTTTTATTTTATCCCAAAAAAAATTAAATTAAATTACAAACGTTAAATCCGCTCCTACCTAAATATTTTATACCTACCGCCGTTTCAAATCCTCGCGTAATAATAAATGATTCCGATTGCAACGACATCTATTGAAAAAATAACAAAACTAAATCGTTTTAAATAATAATCAGGCACGATTAATTTAGTTACGTTAAATAAACGTTAGATGTCTCTGTCTCTAATTTTTTCCCTCCTTTTTTTAAATTTAAAATCTTTTAGGAATTTTTGTGTGTGTGTAATTTACATAAACCAGTAATTTCTCTTTAAAAAAAAAATTTTTTTTTAATTGAACGTCGTCGTGTCTTTAGGTCAATTACTCAAAAACTTGATATTCAACTTTCTTTAGGTGGATATACCTAGAAGTGAATGTCTTGGCAACCGGATGTTTTACTTTTTTTTAATTTACTTTAAAACTATCTCGAGGGGTAGGGGAGGGGAGGAATGGGGGGCGAAAGGGGAGACAAAAAACAAGTTACAGGTGAACTCATTTATTTATAAAGAGTTTTTTTTCGGTAAGGATTTGATGATGTTAAAAAACAAGACAACATCCGGTCAAGCTTGTTTGTTATTACTTATACCACATAAATCGTACCACCATCAGGTTGTAATAATAATAATAATAATAATAATAAATACTGGAAGGTAAAATTATTATAGACTGATGATTGTTTATCTCTTGGTGTTTATAAAAAAAAAAAAAAAAAATTCCGGTGTGGAATTAAAAAGGATGTAATAAAGAAAGGAAAATGGACGGACGTTTTCAAAATGGATTTTTTTAATAAAGCCACCGCCGCCATTGCCGCCACCACCGCCGCCTAAATAGGTCACTTGAGTTATAAACTCGTTAACATAGTTTTTATTTATTTATTTTAAGCCTACGTTTTTTTTTCTTTTCTTTTCTAAACTAATTGACGGCTTTCTTTAAAAAAAAAAAAAAATCATTGGTTTTTATTTAAAAAATTTTTTCTTTTTTTTTGTAAACTTTCTATTTTTTTCTAGAAAGTTCGAAATTCATTCACAGGATTTTATTGCGTAAAACTAAAAGTTTATTATTAACACTTTTACATAAATCATGTTCTGGATTATGATTCTGGAGAATTTTTTAATTTTTTTTCGAAAAAAACTAAAAATTTTTATTTATTTATTTATTTTAAATTATATATTTTTTATTAATAATATAACATCAGACTTAATAATTATAAATAAGCTTAAATAAGTTTTTATTAAATAAACAAAAAAAAACATGAAAATGTTTAAATTAGTAAATAATAAACAATAAATTATGTATGAAAATAATTTAAAAGGGTAAACGTAGGGCGCGTTTATCGACCAAACGTTTAAAACAGAACAGGCCTGACTAGGAGATAGGAAGGTGAATTAAAATCACCACTGTTGCTGTTGCTGCTGTTGTTGCTGCTGCTGTTGCTGTTCTTGCGGTATTCTCCCTCGATAGGCTAATTCTTGAGCTGGTAAGAAAGGTTCCGAAGTATCGAAAGATCGTCTCACAACGTTATCGACACCCTTTCCAACGGGTATTTCATCATCGTAACTTCCTTTAGATTTTTCATAAACTTCAGGAGGTGCGGATACGTCTAAACTTCTTCCGTAACCACCGCCTCCGCTGTGTCCGCTAGATTCCCATCCGCCACCGCCACCGCCTCCGTAACCTCCGAAATCATGACCGGATGAATACGTGTGCGAATGTGAAATCTGAGGTTTCTGTACTATTTCGATAGTTTTCGATTCCGTGTGTCCGTGACTGAACAATTTTTTCAATCCGATTATCGATGCGAGTACCAATGCGATTTTACTGACCAAAAGGGCTTTGGCTGCTAAAAGACCAACGGCTTTCAATGCATATGCCATCATGCTTCCTTTCATCATGGCGGCGAGCAAAAGCGGTCCCATCATTTTCTTTAATTTACTTCTACCTGATATATATTAAAAATATTTATTATAAAGTATATCATTAAAAAAACGGAAGTGGTATCGATGGTCAAGATCAAGGTCAGGTATAATCTGTGAAAAAACGAGATAATAGATAAAGACAAAAAATAAATTTCAAGGTGAGGCGGGCGAGGGGCCGGGAGCCCCGGGGGGGATTTACGCTCGAGCAAAAACTAGTTTATCTTTTTTTTTAATTATAAATTACTCTATGATAATTAGAGACAAGAAAGAGTCATTCATTTAACGGCTACTTAAAAAATTTTTATTACTCGTACCTGTTCACCTAAAAAACAAAAAAAAAAAATCAGGTTGTCTACCCTGTCCTAAAGTGTTAAGAGGAGCATGTGGTGTGTGTGTGTGTCGAACGACAAGAATTTCTCTTGTTCCGGTCAAGTTTTTTTATTGCGTGACGGTAGTTGTGTTGTTGTCGTCACACAACAACTGCCATACCTTTTTCCACCGATTAAATGAAATTTTTTTGTTTGTTTACCATCCGATAACCTTTTAAATTATAATGATGATGATGAATTAACGTCGCTTTATACCCACCTTGTTCTTGCTCGGTTTTATCGGAGCCACCGATAAATTTTTGAAAATCAAATTGTATCGAATGAGTCCTTAAAAATCTCGTCACTCTATCCACGATCATGTCATCAAGTGCTTCGTGACGTTTTTCCGATTCGTTGGGAAGTTCGTTTTCGTTGAATTCAGCGAGAGGCATGGATCTACTTGTGGATTCATCGTTTCTCACGACAGTTATCCCTTCGAAAATGGGTATGTTGTTGATTTTGAGAGCTCTGTCGGCGAAACGAACGGCTTTGACTTTCATACATGAAAACATATCCGGGGTTTCTCCGCATTTCTCATATGCGTTGTATAACATTTTAAAACCTTTTTCGACTTCATTTTCCGGTTCTTCCGTTTTCCTCGGCGTCGTAACTCCGCATGAAACACTCGTTAATTGAACTAACACTAAACCCAACGATAATAATAATACTAAATTTCCCGTCGAACCCATAATGTTTTCTTTTCTTCTTCTTTAAACTTTTTTTTTAAATTTTTTTTTTTTCAAAAATTTCAACTTGTTAAAAAAAAAAAAAAAGAAAAATATTTTTTCAATAATAATGATGATATTATTTCACTGTTTAAACCAACCACTCGAGTCGATAACAAAATTCGCACTACACATTATTCCATAATGCCCTTCCAGTTTATATCAAACAAGTGTTATGATTTAATATGATAAAAAAGAGGTGGTACTTAATTAAATATCTTTCAGAGCATAAAAAAACATTCTTTTACGCTCTAAAAGAATTGGATGGACAAGGGGCGAACAAACGTGAGACATAGAAAAGTTTTTTTTTTGCTTTATTTATTAAAACCGCAAATGGCAACGTAAAAAAAAAAACCAACCAATTACTACTCCCGCTCTTTATTTTTTTACTTTTTTCTTATGGTAAGTAGATTTCTTATAAGGACTGGTCAAGTGAGTTATAACGCCCATGTTTATTGTATGAGAATACTCATTATTCTAATAGGAAACAAACAAACGGACAAACGCACACACGCATACGCACACGCAAGGAATACATGGTTTTTTCTGTAATTAGGATTTGCGAAAATTTCCAATTTAATATTTACTTTCCCCTCCCCTTTCCCCCTCCCGTCTCACGCCTTATCGACTACTTTTCTTTTCCCCCTCTCCTCGCCATTTTCTTTTTTTAAAAATTTTCCATCGTTTTTTTTTTTTTCAATTTAAAAAAAAATTTTTTTTTAATACCTTTTTTTTTTTATGGAAACCTAAAGTTTATTTCAGGACCGTATCCATTGATTTTATCAAATAATATTTATCTAAGAGTTTATGATTGAGATGATGTTGATGATGATGTTGATGATGATGATGATGATGATGATGATGATGATGATGATGATGGATGGCGTGATTTATTATAATAGTTTAATTTTAAAAAAAAAAAAAAAAAAACTTTCTGATTATCGATTATAATTTTTTTTTTCTTCTTATTTTTCTTATCATGTAATTAAAAGTCGTGGAATTAAACGTCGTGGAATTAAACAAGCTAAATATGAATACAACAAAAAAAAAAAAAAATTTTTTTTTATTTTATTTTAACGAGTGCAAAGACAATGAGTACCCATCTGGAATTTCAGGTACAATTTCACTTAAAACTTTCCAAAAAGTAAAAATTATTTATTTATTCATTTTTTAAAAAATAATAATAATAATAATAATGATAATAAGAATAATAACAATGATAATGATAATGATGATAATAATAGTAATGATATTAATAATGATAATTTTTTTCTAAAAGCCCATAAATAATTATAAAATTTAATTTTTTATTGTTTAAAAAATTCATTTTTTTCGTTAAGTTGGCAGACTTTAAAATATGATTTATTATAACTCGTTAGTATTGTATTAATTGATGACGATGATAATAATAATAATAATTATTTTTAATGAATGGATTTTATAGAAATTTTTAAAGTTTAAACAAAAAAAAAAAAAACAAAAGATTGATTATACGTTTTATGAGAGAAAATGAAATATTTTTTTTTCTATTTCCACGTTTTAATTAATATTAAATTTAAATGTTAGGGATATAATAATAATAATAATAATATTTATGTTAATTTCGGTTACAAAAAAAAAAAAGAAAAAAAGTAAAGGTTTTGTTGAGTTTTTGAAAGATTTTAATTATTTAAAAAATTATTACCAAAAGTGAAAATTTTTTATTTTTATTTTTTTGATAATGTTATCAAATTTCTTTCTGTTTTTCTTTTTTTTCTGTCTGCGTTTTCTTTTCCCTTTCTCTCTCTCTCTGTCTTTTTTGTCTAACTTTTTACCTTTTCTCAGTTTCTTTTTGTTTGCCTCCCTATATTTCTTTGTTTCTCTCTAATTTTTAGTCTTTCGTTTAATCTCTATTTCTCTTTCTCTTTCTTTTCTTCATCTGTATGTTTATTTCACTGCCTTTCTCTCTTTTTATTTCTCTTTCTCCTTTTCTTCATCTGTATCTTCATTTCTCTGCCTCTCTTTCTCTTTCGTTTTATCTATTTTTTTTTCTCTCTCTCTCTCTCTCTCTCTCTACGTTTTCCCATCTTTCTATCTTTTATCAATTTCTTTTCTTCTGCCTCTCCCCCTTTTTTTCTCTCATTCTTTTCGTCTCTATTTCTCAGCCTTTCTCTTTCATTTCGTTCTCAATTTCTCTCTCTTTCTTTAATTTTTCACATACCTTTGCGTTTATTATTATTATTTTTTAAAGTTTTAATTAGCAGCATTTCACGTTCATTACTTTTAATTTTTTTTTTTAACGACTCCATAAAATTTTTAATGAAAACTTTTTTAAACGAAAAAAAAAAAAAATTGAAATGGAGAGCAAGCAAAGCAACAAAAAAAACAATAATAATAATAATAATAATAATAATAATAATAATAATAATAATATATAAACGTGGTTTCAAACTCTAATAACTCATATCGGACGTGTGATTTTCTTTTTAAAAAAATTAGAAAGGTTTTACTTTGGGTTTTTTTTTTTAAAATACAAACTACGACGGTGACGAACTCATCAAATTATCTTTTACATTCTATATGACTTTTTATATACGTTTTTCATTTCACTTTACCTTAACACGGTCCTTAAAAAAAAAACATTATTTAACTCTATGTAATAAATTTTTAGAAGGTAACAAAAAGAAAACCTACTTTATAAAAATGAAAGTTTAATTATATTTATAATAAATTTTTTTTTTTCGATCCGTGTAAGCAGAATCTCTGTCGTGGATTTAACTAAAATTAACATCATCGCATCCGTTAAATTTTGGATAAAGGTTTGATTGATACATTTCAACCGCCATCTTTGTTTTTTTCCAAACTTTGACAACAAACGTTTCTAAAAGGTTCTTTTGGAACTTATCAGCGACGATAAGATAGAGAAAGAGAGAGAGAGGGAGAGAGAGATAAAAAAAATAAATAAAAATGAAAGTAGAACGGGTAATAATAATAATAATAATAATAATTTCACGAATATGTTTTTTTTTTTTTTATGTTTTCACGTACGAAAAAAAAAAAACGTAAATTTTTATTAATTAAATTAATAATACTGCATTTAAAAATAATAATAATAATAATTATTATTATTATTATTATGATAATAATGATAATTTTTCTTTTTTTTAAAGTGGAGAAATAAGAAGAACCGTTTTGGAGAAAGTTATTTAATAAATAAAAAAAATTTTTGTTGACCGTAAACCTGATCGGGTACGTGGAAAAGCTCTCTACCGTGACAAACCGCAACGGTTAAAAAACATTTAAAAATTTTTCACATGCGTGAGTTTTTTTTATTCATTCTATGGATTTGATTTTTTTTATTGTTTTTGATCGTGCCACGGATGAGAGAGAGAAAGAGATAGAAGAGATAGAAAAAAAGAGTGAGAGAGTGAGAGAGAGAAAATTAATTATTCGCGGTACTCTACGATAAAAAAAATAATTTTTTAAAGAAAATGGTTTCATCAAAAGGTTTTAGTTTCCTCCCCTCTCCTCCCCCCCCCAAAAAAAAATAAAAAAGTGAAAACGACAAAAAAAAAAATTTAATAAAATAAAAAATTTTCGACCGGATTTACAGAAGAAAACAGGTACGAAAAATTATTATCAAAAAAAAGAAGATTTTCAAGTTTTTTTTTTTTTTTTTAAATTAAATATTTATTAAATTATTAAACGAGATTAAAAACAATGTCAACAAACAAACATTTTATTATAATTCGAATGTAAATAATAATAATGATAATAAAAGAAACGAAAACGTAAACACAATATAAACAAATGTGACGCCATTTTTTAAAAAAAATTAAATCCCTTTTTTTACGATTAAATTTTCAAATCGGTTTTAAAAAAAATTACGAAAATAATAAAAATAATTTGTCACCACCGCCATCGTCACCACCGTCACCACCATGAACATCATCATCATCATCATCATCACCATCAACACTATAACCATCCGTCAACGATTTTGAAAAAAAAAATTTTTTAAATTAGATCGATGATCGTTAATCGTTTTTTTTTGTCACCGCCTTTTTTACGAAATACGGATCCCCAAAAAAATGCGTCATTTTTATCAAGTTTGTGGGGGGTCGTGCGGGTTTACAAACGAAAAATCAATTTAATGACAGTATTGATAACGTTATCATTATCATTTAATATGTTTTCGTTTTAATAATAATTATTTCGTACCACCTAATACTTTTATCTCTCTCTCTCTCATTCATTCAGTACCATCTTATTGTTCTTCAAACGTTTGTTCCGATGGTCCCCCTTCCCTTCCCTTCCCCCCGAGAAAAAGAAAAACTATTTTTTTTGACAATGAAAATAAATGATTTGACATCGTGATAAAAAAGAAAATAATAATAATAACAACGATCGTATCAAATACGGTAATTTGATACAATTGACCCAGAATTTATTATTATTTTTTTTTTTCGAATAATAATAATAATAATAATAATAATGATAAATGTTACAAACAAACGGGAAAATTTTTCTTCTTTTTCCTCTTTTTCTCATATTATTATTATTATTATTATTTTCGGGTTTGGAAAATTCGAATGAGACCAAAAGGAAAAAAAAATTAAAAGGAAAAATTGAATTTTATTATTATTATTATTGAGCGGTCGCCATTTTGAATTTTTTTTTTTTTTATTTCAACAAATGGATTTTCTATTATTATTATTATTATTACCATTACTATTTTTTCCGATCTAATTAATTCATAAAAAAAAAAAAAAATAATTTTTCGTACGAGTGATGATGATGTTTTATTATTAAAATACACTAAGTGAGAGTATGGGTGTGCGTGAGTGAGTGCGTGCGTGAATGCGTTTTCAAAAGGGATTCGTAACGGTTAAGGTCACGTTTCGAAAAAAAATAAAAAATTTTTTTTTTTAATGAAAGTTTAACGAATTCATTTTCCGATCGAATACTTTAATAGTGATGGCGGT